CCAACTAATGTACCAAGACTAACCAATGTTTTCAGTAAGTTAACAGAGGAGGTAAACTATCCATCGACCCCGAACACACACACCAGAAGAAACTAAAACTAATGTAACCAACCTCTCTCTCTCTCTCTCTCTCTCTCTCTCTCTCTCTCTCTCTCTCTCTCTCTCTCTAACACCTCCTTCTGAGACTATTGGCCGCATCAGCCATCTGGCGGCACTACATCAAACCTTCCAGTGAGATAACAGCGAGAGGGGAGGCTGCCTCTGATCAGTGGGAGGAGAAAGAGAGAGAGAGAGAGGGGGGGGGGTGAAGGAGGGTGAGAAAGAGGTAGAAAAGTATGAAGGAAGGAAAGAGAGAGAGATCATTATCACCAATTATCCCAAACACACAGCTTCATCAGACGGCATCACAGCATCATCACCTTAAAGGGTCTCACCTGGTGGTAAATATTTTGGGGGGAATATTTACACAGGTAGGAGCACCGCCTAGGGAAAATTCCCCGACACACCTGGCGGAGTTGATCATGGAGATTGTGTGCTAGGGGAACCTGAAGGAGAGTACAGGGAGAATTTTCCTGTGCCCTGATGGTGGTTGGTGATGGTAGTGGTGGTGATGGTAGTAGTTGTGGTTAGTGGTGGTGATGATGGTGGTTGGTGATGGTATTAGTTGTGGTTAGTGGTGGTGATGATGGTGGTTGGTGATGGTAATAGTGGTGATGGTAGTAGTTGTGGTTAGTGGTGGTGATGATGGTGGTTGGTGATGGTAGTAGTTGTGGTTAGTGGTGGTGATGATGGTGGTTGGTAGTAGTTAACATCACTAACTCCCCAATTACTACCACATTACCATAATACCATTACTAACTACCCAATCACCACCATACTATCATTACCAACATTTAACTACTGAATATATTGCAGAGATTCAATGTGTAACTAGGAAGCGTTTATAATACATAAGGTTTAATGCAACTTAGGTTGGGTTAGGTAATATTGCAAGTAAATTCACTCACGGTTAAGAGTATATTGAGGTTGAGGAAATTGCAATTGAATTTTTAATGAGTTGTTGCAAATTTCATTATTTTTCTAGATTTTTTGTATTTTTTTTTGGGGGGGCAAAATTTCTGCTTCTCTTCCTGTTACTGATCCCCCTTCTTCTTCTTCTTCTTCTTCTCCTCCTCCTCCTCCTCCTCCTCCTCCTCCTTCTCCTCATTTTACCTTCTTTTCTCCTCCTCCCTCCTCCTTTTACTTCTCCTCCTTCCTCAGAAATAAAAACCTACGGAAAGTTCTTGTAAAAAAAATTTCAATCATCTTTTAAACCTTAGGAGACAAAAATAACCGGAAAATTTAGAGTACACGATATTGCAGGAAATTTCAATCAACCTCACTCTCCCCCCCAAAAAAAACGCTCTCCACCCCACCCCAATTCCCCACCCCAAAAAAATCGATTATATATATAGTGTATTTTCGTATACTCTTAATCTACTCTCGTTAAAATATTGCAAGTGCGTTTACAAGATACCGCAAGCACTTAACTTTACGGACAAAAATCAAGAGTGTTTTTTTCCCCCTAATCGTGGGAGAATTTTTATTGATCTAAGTTTTTAATAATTATAACAGGTGAATTTAATCATAAGTATGTGTTTGGGTTAATGTTCAGTGCGTTGATGTTGGATAATGTTGCAAGTGTGTTGAACGGAAGTAGGTGAAGCTTTAACCTGTTCTGACCAAAGTTGCTGTTGAAGTTATTGTTAACCCTTTAAGGATAATGATTTAATCCCTTGAGGGAGATGACTTGACCCTTGAGTACGATTACTAAACCGCTTAGAGTACGATGACTTAACCCCTCTGAGAACGATGACTTAACCCTTTGAAAATGATGACTTAACCCCCTTTTGATGATGATTTAACTGTTGAATTCGATTACTTAAACCCTTAGAGTACGATGATTTAACCCCTACAAACGGTTAAACCATCATCCACAAAGAGTTAAACCCACTACCATCAAAGGATTAAAACGCCCGTAGTCAAAACACAGATTCTGATACACACTGAAAGTCGGGCTATTTAAGAATGCGGCCTTGACCTATTGACCTGGCGGGGAAAAGAGAGAGAACGGAATTATCGACTCAACAAAACAACTCGAATTGTTTTTGACTCTGATTTAAAACTCTTGACCTCTCTGTCTTACAAACTCTTGACCTCTCTGTCTTCCGCACACACACACACACACACACACACACACACACACACACACACACACCTACCTGGGGAGCTAAGATCTGTTTAGTGGGGAGTAACCTCATTGGGGGAGACGGAAAGTGTTTTAGTCGAGAGAAAGATTCTGTAAAATTTAGAAAGTCAAGAGTTGAGATTGTGAAAGTGGTGATGGTGGTTTATGTATTGGTGGTAGTGGAAATTAATGGTGGTTGTGAAAATGGTGATGGTGGTAGTTGCTGGGGTATTAGTTGTGGTAGTGGTGGTAGTTGTAGGGGGTATTAGTTGTGGTGGTGATGGTAGTGGTAATTGATGGTGGTTGTGAAAGTGGTGGTGGTAGTAGTGAGAGTATTAGTTGTGTTGGTGATAGTGGTTAGTTGTTGTAGGGAGTAGTGGTTGTGGTGGTAGTAACCTCCCACACCACCATTACTACTACCAAACCAAACCCAACCCAACCAACCAACTAATAACCAACCAACAACAACAACCCAACTGACAACAACAACCAACCCAGCAAACAACCAAGCCAAACCTAGCAAGTAGGCCAACCAAACCAAACCCAACCAAACCCAACCAAACCAAACCAAACCTAACCCAATTACATTACCTTCTCAACTCTCTTCATGTCAAGGTGTTAAAATAGGTCTCAAATTGGCTTCTGGATAAATAGGTATATCTGATTATGATAAATATACCGACGACCCCTGATATAGCCTTGACCTCTCCCATGACACACCCCATAACTCAGGTGGTTAGGTCACACCCTGTAATTATCGTTTCCTAGGCTGTAATTAATAGGGGCGGGGGGGTGATGTGATGGGTGATCTTTCTGGGGGTTGTGGTTGGGTTATTTTCAGAGGTGTTAAGAATTGGGTCTCTTTAAGGAGGTTTAGGGGAGGTTTAGGTGAATTTAAGAAATTGAATATAATTATTTTAGAGTTATATGTATACCTGTACTGTCTTTATACATGTGCTGAAATGTATGCGTAGATTATCTATATTTGTGCTGAACCCATTTTACTCTCTCTCTCTCTCTCTCTCTCTCTCTCTCTCTCTCTCTCTCTCTCTCTCTCTCTCTCTCTCTCTCTCTCTCTCTCTCTCTCTCTCTCTCTCTCTCCTCTCTCTCCCTCCCTCTACTCTTTCCATTTCCTCCTTTTCTTCCCTCTCCCTCCTTCCTCCTCCTCCTTCCCTCATCCCTCACTCCCTTCACTCCCAGACTAATACATAAACTACCTGCCTTTATTTTTTGCACAATTTAAAAAGGTCGCCGATGAAAAGTTCCCCCATTTTCTTTTTTAACATAAATAAAACATTATTACTCGCCATAAGACGTATACAAATGACTAAAAACTTTCTCCAGTTACATAACCAGTCAGCCATGTTTGCCAGTCAGCCATGATTGCCAGTCAGTTAGTCAGCCAGTCAGTCAGATAATAACAAGTCTACCAGTCCATCATTTTAGTCAACCAATCAATCAATCCACCAACATCCATTCTACCACTCAACCAATTACACAACCAGCCCATACAGTCAACCAGTCAACCACTCCACCATTTAGTCAACCAATCCACCAATTACTCAACCAGACCAATCAACCACCCAATCAACTAATCAACCATTCCATCAATTACTCTCAACCAATCCACCAATTACTCAACCAGTCCAATCAACCAACTAATCCACCAGTCCATACAATCAACCAGTCAACCAGTCTAGCGTTTTCATTTTGCCGTCTTCGTGATCTCAGTATTTGACAAGGTGGAAACTCCGACGTTTTTCTACACTGGTGAAGGAGTAATTGGGGGACCTGTCAGAGTCATACATCTGTCTCTGTCACGACCATTCTCTCACCATGACGACCACCTCAAAAGGTTGGGTGGGTGGTTGGTGGTGGTAGGGGTGAGGGGTGGGGGTGAGGTAGAGGTGGTAGGGATGGTAGTGGTGGTGGTAGGGATGGGGGTGGTGGTGGGGGTGGTAGGGTTGAGGAATGGAGATAGTAGTGGTGGTGGTGGTGGTGAGAAGTGGTAATAGTGGTAATAATAGTAACAATAATAGTAGGAGTAATAATATTAGTAGTAGTAATAATAGTAGTGGTAGTAGTAGTAGTTGTTATAGTAGCAGTAGTAGTAGTATTAATAATAGTAATAGGAGTCGCAACAGTAGCGAAAAAAATTGGACCCCCAAAAATACAAAGACATTTTTTACCGTGGCGCGGCTGACAATGGTTCCAGCAGCACCCTACAGTACTCAGCATCTACAAAAGGCCATTTCTCTTATGAGGGTGAGCGGGTGAATATGGCCAGGGAGAGCGGAGGGAGATTAACGACAAGGGAGAATAAAGGGAGATAGATGGTAAGGGAGGATATAAAGAGATAAATAACTAGGAAGAATACAAGGCGATTAATGGGTGGGGCAAATATAGGGAGGTTTAATTTGGAAGGGAGAAGAGAGGGAGGTAAATAGCCAGGGAGAATACACTGAGGTCAGCGTTTCTATCCATTGTTTTCTCTCCCTGAAAAAAAATAAAAAAATAAACAAAAAAGTTGGTGGGGAATTTTTCAGCAAGAGTTGACTTCCTGTGTGTGTGTGTGTGTGTGTGTGTGTGTGTGTGTGTGTGTGTGTGTGTGTGTGTGTGTGTGTGTCACTCATATTATTATTGTACTTTAATAATAATAATAAAATGTTACCAACCACATGACTTATATATATAATCTCTCTCTCTCTCTCTCTCTCTCACCATCACTCACTCACTCACTCACTCACTCACTCACTCTCTCTCTCACCTCCAGGAACGTGTTCGTCATAGCAGCCATTCTACTAGAGAGGAACCTACAGCAGGTGGCCAACTTCCTCATCGTGTCCCTGGCTGTAGCGGATCTTATGGTGGCCTGTCTGGTCATGCCCTTAGGTGCTGTGTATGAGGTAAGTGCTGTGGTGGTGCTGTGGTGGTGCTGTGGTGGTGCTGTGTTGGTGCTGTGGTGGTGCTGTGGTGGTGCTGTGTTGGTGCTGTGGTGGTGCTGTGTTGGTGCTGTGTTGGTGCTGTGGTGGTGCTGTGGTGGTGTTGTGAGGATGTAGTGGTGGTGGTGTGAGGATGTAGTGGTGGTGGTTGCTGTTGATGTTGGTGTGGTGGTGTGGTGTTGGGGTGGTGGTGGTGGTGGTGGTGGTGATGGTATGGTGGTGATGTGATGTGTTATTGAAGTGTGAGAAGAACATAAAATAGGCGAGACAGACAGACAGACAGACAGACAGACAGAGCAGAAAATAGAATAACCAAGAAATAAGAAAAACAAAAGAATAAAAGATGAAGAAACAAGAGAAATAAGATTGGCAAACACAGAAAAGGGGAGAATTAAAGCAGAAGAATAAATTGAGGAAGAAGGAAAGAATAGAAAGGGGAAGAGAAAGAGGAATCGAAGAGGAAAAAGAAAGTAAGATAGATGAGGAGAGAGAAGGAGGTGGCGAAGGGGAAAAGAAATTAAAGAAAAGAAAGAGTAAGAGAGAGAGAGAGAGAGAGAGAGAGAGAGAGAGAGAGAGAGAGAGAGAGAATGAGAGAGGAGAGGAGGGGGAAATCCCGTCCTTAAAACACCTGACTTAACATGATCAAACTTGTTGACTCTCTTCAAACTTTCTCTTTCTTTCGATTTTATTCCCAGCCAAGTTACCTACCAATGTTCCAACATCAAACTCGTAGCTTTCGGAAGAGAAAGTTAGTGAAAGTTGGTGTTAATTCTGTTGGTAAAAGTTGGTGTTAATTTTGCTGGTGAAAGTTATTGTTAATCCTGTTGATGAAAGTTGGTGTTAATTCTGCTGGTGAAAGTTACTGTTAATTCTGCTGGTGAATGTTAGTGTTAATTCTGCTGGTGAAAGTGTTAATTCTGCTGGTGAAAGTTAGTGTTAATGCTGCTGGTGAAAGTTGGTTTAAATTCTGCTGGTGAAAGTTAGTGTTAATTCTGCTGGTGAAAGTGTTAATTCTGCTGGTGAAAGTTAGTGTTAATGCTGCTGGTGACAGTTGGTTTTAATTCTGCTGGTGAAAGTTGGTGAAAGTTGGTGTTAAATATGCTAGAAAAAGTTAATGAAAGTTGGTGTGAATTTTTCGGGTTACTGGCCAGACCACCGAATATGCATTTGTGAAAGTTACACTGTATAACGAAAGCACCAAACTTTCTCTGGTGAAAGTTAAAGGTAATTCGATCCGGCTTTTACACAGAGAACATCGAATTGGTTGTGTCACTCTGAAAATGGTATTTGTATTGTCGCTTTGGTGCTGTGGTACTGTAGTGATGTGGTGGTGTGGTGATGTGGTGGTGTGGTGATGTGGTGGTGTGGTGATGTGGTGGTGTGGTGATGTGGTGGTGTGGTGGTGTGGTGATGTGGTTGGTGGTGTGGTGGTGTGGTGTAGTGGTTTGGAGATTTGGTGATGTGATGGTGATGTGGTGGTGTGGTGATGTTATGGTGTGGTGATGTGGTGGTGTGGTGGTGTGGTGATGTGGTGGTGTGGTGATGTGGTTGGTGGTGTGGTGATGTGGCGCTGTGGTGCTGCTGTGGCGCTGTGGTGCTGCTGTGGTGCTGTACTGCTGTGGAGTCCTTATACTTAAAAATCATTTTACCTCAACCTAAAGAAGAATTTCTTTTTACTCATTTATTCAGGACACTCGTGCAAGTAAGTCGCTGGGTTGTGGTAATGGAGGTGGTTGGAAATACCCGTCGTCTAGCCCATTAGACTATTAGAAAGTGGAGAGAAAGTGGCGAGAAGGAGGAGTGAAAAGAGAAAGGTTTAGTATGCTGGGCTAGTGTACAACTTACTTACGCTTGTCACGAACTCAGTAAAAAATTGTATTACTGATTTTAATGGCGTTTGAGGTAGAGGGATTTATACACCCGGAGAATAGCTACCACAGCTTATTTTACCTGATGATTATACGTTCTAACTCTACCTGCAGGAGTTAGGTTAGGTTAGGTTAGGTTAGGTTACCCATCCACCCACCATAAACCTACCCATTTATCTACCACCCATAGACCCATCACTGTCACATCTATCAACCCACCCACCCACCCACCCACCCACAAATCCATTATCGTCAAAAGAGTTTATCATTAACTTAGTGACGTCACCTACAATACCTTCACTCAGCATATTACAGGAAAAAGGTGTTTTTCTCCCCCCAAAGTCTAGGGAAAGTTAAGGGAATCTCGTGCTGTGTCAGGGGAAAACTGGTGTTTTTTTTTCTCTCTTGTACGAGTCAAAGGCTGGAGTCAGGGAAATTCTAAACTGAGCAGCGATTTTAAAGTGTAGTTGCTATGATGAGGTATTGTCTGTCTGTCTGCCTGTCTGTCTGTCTGTCTATCTGTCTGTCTATGTAACTCTCTCTCTCTCTCTCTCTCTCTCTCTCTCTCTCTCTCCTCCACCTCACATGAAAACATCTCACCCATCTTAACACTCCTCCACGACGACCCAAACTCACACTACCTCCTTTTCTCACTCTCTCTCCCTTCCCCCTCTCCCCCTCCCCTCTTTCTCTCCCCCGTTTCTCCCCTCTCTCTCTCCCTCTCTCCCTCACCACTCCTCCATCGTGAGGCACCATCTGGAGGGAGACTATCTGGTCCCTGGAGAAGACCCTAAGACAGCTCATCCTTTGGCCTTAAACATCTTAAAAAGGAAACGAGTTCTTTTTATCACCTGCCTGGGAGACATGGGGGAGAGAAAGTGGGAGAGGGTGGGAGTGGGAGGGAGATGAGAGGGTGGGATGGAGATGGGAGGGTGGGAGGGAGAGGGGGGGATGGTGGGGTAGGGGTTTATATTCGTACAGGTAGACACGCACGCACGCAAACAAACACACACACACACACTCAATCAATCAACAAGTGTTTGCCCACAACTACAATGCAAGTGACATAAGAGGAACAAGACCTGTGGCTATTAAGGATATTTTTAATGGGACTGCCACAGCATAGAGGAAGGTGGGGGGGAGGGGGGGAAGGGAAGGGGAGAAGGGGGTAGGAGGAAGGGGGAGAAAAGAGATGAAGAATAGTAAGGGGAGGCGAGAATTTAAAGGAAGGAAGAAGGGGTGAAAGGTAAGGAGGGAGGAAATAGAGAAAGGGGAAAGAGGAGAGAGGAGGAGACGGCTAACCAACTTTGTTACATAAAATATATAAAATGAAGAAACGTATCCTGTGAATAGGTTAGATTAGGGTATGATACCTTAGGATAAGTTAGGTTAAGTCATGAGAGATTGGGATAAGCTAGGTTAGATTAGGATAGTTCAGTTCGGTTCATCCACCATCATCAAGCAGAGCTAATAAAATGTGATCAAAAAGTCCCTGTGCACCTCTAATACCTAACAATATAATTATTTATCTTGTTCTATGTACAATAATAACAAGAAATTGTCACATTAAATGGTGGAAGGTGATATAATTTACATTATTTACTATAATTATAACACGGTATATAACAACATAGGTAAATCAAGTCATAAAACAACGTAGATTAACAAAGAACCACAATATGTTTGAGTAACGCAGGTGCACAGGGACTTTTCGATCAACATGGTTTGTAAAACTCTACGGACAATGCAACTCGTGTTTCACTTACTCTCTTCCTCTGTTTAATATTACTGACCTCTGACCATTAGTTGTGGGGTCAGTAATATTAAACAGAAAATGTCTTAGTAATAATAATAATAATAATAATAATAATAATAATAATAATAATAATAATAATAAAATAATAATCATAATAATTTTAATATTAATATTTATAATAATAATAATAATAATAATAATAATAATAATAATAATTATAATAATAATAATAATAATAATAATAATAATAATAATAATAGCAGGTGTCTCATTTTAATATGCAAATTAACAGACATAATTACATACACACAAAGAGACATACCTGTCCAACATCTCGTGTTTAAATGTAATTACTAATTAATTAATTGGTAATGTAATTTAAAGTGTTTTACAGCAGTTTACACCAAAATTAACAATTAATCAAATGACTGTTTTATTAAGGCCCCGAGTATCGATGACATGTGGGCAGTATTTAATTTTTAATAGTTAAGTTAAATTTTATTATTGTTTGGTGTTTATTATTTATTATATATAAAATATTATGACAATGGTCTTAAGCTAATGAATATATATATATATATATATATATATATATATATATATATATATATATATATATATATATATATATATATATATATATATATAGGATAATGACGGGGGTAATTATAACTATGCGACAGACAGACAAACACACACTCACTCAACACACACACACACTACACACACACTAACACACACACACACACACCAACATACACACACACTAACACACACACACACTAACACACACACACACACACACACACACACTAATACACACACACTAACACACACACACACTAAGACACACACACTAACACCTCGTAATAAACATAACAGGTATCCCTTGACTACGGAATTTCGCCATTAGTCTCCAAAGGCGAGGCTGATTACTGCGAGATAATTGTTCTCACGGGAGACGGGAGAGAGAAAATTAGACAGAAGGAAAGAGAATATGAAAGAGGCAGAGAAGGAAAGAGAGAGACACAGAGGACAATTTTGGTGTGGTTATAAGAGGTTACGTTAGGGTATAATTGGTTATGATAGCTTATGTTAGATCAGGGTAGATTAGGATAAGTTAGGTTAGGTTATGATAGATTAGATCAGGATAGATTAGGTTAAGTTATGATAGGATAGGTTAGGTTAGGTTAGATTAGTTCAGTTCAGTTCGGTTCATCCACCATCACAAAACAAAGCTAATAATCGATGATTATAAAGTCAATGTGCACCTCTAATACTATATAATATGATTATTAACCTTGTTCTGTATGCAATAGTCACTAGAAATTTTCCCATTA